GCTAGCTCTGACATTGGACACTTCATTTTGTTACTCGAGTACTTCTCGGATGCGCTCAGTCTCACTTTGGGAGCGGCTCGTGATGAAGAACACAACTTGGAAACTGATCGCGCTCTGGGCCATTACAGCCGCATACAGCAGTGGTCCGGCAGGAGCGTCTACATGTCGGAGATGTACCGACGATTCATAGGGAGACTCAGACCATCGTTGTTGCTAGGAGCCTCTTCCTACCAGCCGGGAGCGATATCGTCCCTGGAAGTGAGAGGACAGCAATTCAGAGAGTTCCGTCATCTCTACTCCTTCCCCGCTGGTGAGTGGGAAAATATTCTGATGCCTGAGAGAAAGACGTGCTGCAGGAGCGAGCTGCCACAGCCTACTCAGCAACTGTGGGACGAAGTCATATGTCTAGCAGTGAAGCGGTTGCACGACAAAGTGAAGAGCCGAGCACAGAAGTCGCTGGCTCCAGTGACCACTGAGCTACGACGAGCCATCGCTAGGCAAGATTAATGCTACCATATGCTTTTCGCATGTTTCATCTGTTTGTGAAGGATTTGATTTGCTCATAGGAAGGGTAAAAATGACTATTGAATGCGCCTAGCATACTCGGCATGGCAACGCGAGATCTCTCATCTGCCAGGATAGGATGCGAGACCAATCCGTAGTACACAAACGATGACTCAGCTTGTTCTCCACCCCTTTCCGAGCTAAGGAGTAACTCCATCAATCGACTAAGTTATGCGACTGAGACATATCCACAACACGGAGGAGGTTCCATAATAATATCCCTTAAGTATTATGGTAACCTGCTTCAGCCTATCGAGGCATCTGGGACGCCTTTCGCGGGGGTACGAAAATTCGACCTTCGGAAAGGATCCCTACTGCACATACATCGAATAGGCTTATCTAGATTGGCCGTTGTAGGTCGAGAGAAGCCGACCCCTGAAGTGAATTGTGGCGAAATCTCTCATATGCGCCACTCTGTGGGTTTCGCACTGTTGTTCGTATGAGAGGTATTCAGTTTGATCTGATGCCCTCAGAGGATTCATCTCTGCTGGAATAACACAACAAGACAAATTCAATGAATCACAGCATGCAAATAGATGTGCAGATACTTCGAGGGAATTATACGTGACACGGATAAGTCAACAACTATAGTGTAATACGCTCAGACAAACTCCGATAAGTGACCGGTATAAAAACAGTTAATGATCTTCAAGAGGCGATAACCATAGCCCGAGAGTTGTCGTTCGGGGGTTATAGTATCACCTTCAATGAAGAGACCCATGCGCTTGTACAACTCAGGGATACCTACAAGCCATGACTAAGACCAATGATCACAATGATCCTAAGCCGTGTTGTCGGCGTTGGACTTTAAACTCACACACACAATGATCCTACGAACAGGCTTGTGCGTGACACAAGTCGATAAGGGTAGACTCCCGTTAAGTTTGTTCGCTACTTTGAGGAGTTCATCGGTTAAAAACGAAGGTAATTTGCCACGACGCTCACGCGTCTAGACGGAAGAAGCTTACTACTGTGTATTATAGCATCAATGAATCGGTCCGAGTGGTCTCCTGCAGATAGTGCGTCCACAACAGCTTCAAGCAATGTCAAACAGGGAGGCTCGCATAACTTCGTTTAAAGCACTTGGAGGATCTCGACAATGTCATCGGGACTGGACAAAACGAGATCAGCGGTCATTGAACAATGCAAACCTACGGATCTTGTCTCTCGACCTTCAGCTGACTCGCCGTTCCCAGAAGAACTTTCGATCCAGCAACTTCTCGAGCGTTCTTGGACAACTCTGGAGCGATGACCAGTTCCTCCAGGAAGATGCAAACATCATGTCTGAAGTAGCGGGTGATGCATTGCAACCTGGGGAAAACCGATAGCGCTACAGGTCAAGGTGATGGCACAGTTTTTCAAGGAAATAATTCCCACAACGGTCAGTGGCCAGCATGCGGATAGAAGCCCGACACTCCTCCTCCCCGAATGATTGGATCTCTTCAGAAGTAGCTTGCCCGGACTTGAGATACTCCTAAAGCGATAACTGATCATCCATGTGAAGTAGCGAAGCCATACCTGCAGCAGTCGGGAGCCTACGCCTCCTACAGCCAGCGAAACCACCCGGCCGCCAGTGATGTATTCAACTGTCTTCTCCTTTGGGTGGGATAGGCGTTATTGCCACTCCTCGTACATTCGCCATCTCTGTCCCTGCGCTGAATGGACCTCACCACAGTCCTGGTAGTGGGAGCAGGATCATGCTGCTTCTGCTGTGGCTCTGTGTCCATCTTACAATTACGATTCGTAACTATATGTAGCGATGCGTATGACGTACTGGTGCGTCCACTTGGTACATTAGGAGTCGTAGCTTACGAACTAGTGGACGCATCAGCGCAAGGATTCCGGTTTCAACTGACTAGTGAAGATCTGTCTGGTGACGTGTAGCTGGCCTAGAGCCCGTGCTTGCTGCTGTAGCAGAGCAAGCTGTTGGGCGATTTCGTACTCGTTCCTGGCTCAAAGTTTCGCGATACCATCGAACGGCAGTGACCATAAGCTAGACAGATGCGAACGCCACAGGGGGACCCGGAGGTTCACATTAGAAGGACAATGCCCAACGTATCTAGCCGCCGGATCGATCATCGTCATCTCGCTAGGCTGCCACTGTGCTGTCTGGCCAGTTTGACCAGCCGAGGTTCTCTCGAGGAACCTGGCGAGCTCGGAGGTAGCTGTTCGGGAACCACATACCGAGGAGAAGGCGATAGGCAATTCAGTGATGCCACACCCAGACTGACTCAGGGGCTTGGATAAGGGGCCGGAGGAGCATTCCTCCGAGTGACTACTGCTAGAGGACTCCTCCCAACTCGATAGGGAGCTCTCAGACAGAGACCGGTGACCTCCAGGGTTGAGGTGTGAGTCAGCAGGAAAGAGTGGCGCCATAGACAGGGCATGGGCCGTGTCCAGCAGACCGTATCTGCTGCACGTTCGGCCTCGTGCGTCAGTCATAAGCCCGAGGCCAAGGGTGATATCATCAGGGACTCTGCCATCACTCATTTGCGTTAGGAAAGGCAGGGCTCTATCACCGTATAGGAGTAGCCCTGGAGGATGGTGTTCGCGAACCTGCGGCTGGGCATCGAATAGGAATTGTGAAGAGTACTCAAAGTAGGAGCGGGGATCCATGGGGATCCTATGCGATAGATCGGGAGGTCTTAGAATGGGCCCGGCGTCGAGGCAAAAGGGAAGGAGGATGTATGGTATGGCCAAATATACCATTTCTGGTTCGTTACTCTCACCGCCAACTGACATGAGGAAAAGCCCTCGGGAGGAACCCTCCTTGAGGATTATCACGGAGCGCGTCCCGCTTCGCTCGAGTGTTGGCTGCAGGAGAGAGCATTTTCGATGACATGAATTGACTACTACTGAACGCAGCTCATGCAAAGACTTGCGCACCCCACTGCAAGGGAGGGCCACCACTCACATTAGGAGTCTACATTCATCAGTACGAGGTGGTATCGAGAAGAGCTGTAAGTATGCAACAAACAAGTCAATAACGTAGAACAATAGTAGCTTGAGCAGCAACAGCAGCATATGATGGGAGCCGACCTCAGCCGAGATGCAATGGACGGTCAGCTGCATCACCTCTCGATGACGCCGACGCTGGAGGCTGATGTCGGAGTATGAGGAAGCTGGACTCTAGGGGACGCCAGCGACCCACATCGATCTGACAAAAGACCCCACTAAGCCCAGTGGTGTCACCACCTGTAGTGTCACCATGGTATCATCCGTTCTAATAAATGTACACGAAGCAGTATCATAATGGAGTAATCGCCAACGTGCCACTTCAGCTTCTGAGACCTCTAGCTTTGCACCTGCGATAGCAGCAGCATTTGGTGGCCCCTTGGGCGGTGAGACGAGAGATCCACTCACTTATTCGTCGCTGCAACTCAGACCCCGAGATTTCACCCTTAGGTAATTGTACGAAAAATATATGACCAAACAATGAACGTCCATTACGGGTGGCGTGGCACCTGAGGGGAACTAGCATCGCCAGTTCGGATTAGGTGAGGCAGGAGGCAATAGCAACGGCGGCGGCGGCCCGATGAGGTACACGGGGATCACTTCTTCACCGCCCTTCTTCTCAACACTCTCTTCAATTCGGAGGTAATTCCCTCCCACTCGGCCGGAGAAAATGTCGCTCCTCCCAGCACAGGGCAACTCCGCGGCTCTAACGTTTTCGAAGGTCTGTGAAGTAGGGTCTTCCGAATCCAATCTGACGGGTTGGTCGACATCAAGGATGAAGATAGAGCCACTGACAAGCTTACATCATCAAGATCTTCGATTTCGGATCGTCCACTATCTCCTGGGAAGCCGCAGAGGTGACCATAGCTCTGATGCCAGACTGCAGACCAAACTTTACCTGGCCGCCAACGAGGCGTTCGATCGATCGCGAAATGCCACGAAAGGTACTTCCGATCCCTTCAAGGCATCCAAAGCTAGACGGATGACGTCAGTGAGTAGGTCGGCGGGCTTGTACCAGACTACTGTGGCCGCTACTTCCCTCGGACCATCGAACCTGAACGAACACCATACTAGTAAGTGATGGCCTATAAGCCTTACGCCCTGCACATCATTGGCATCAACTCTGGACTGGCATGCTCTGGTTTACGCAAGAATACCAGATGCAACTCGGGATGTCTGAATGTAACAACCATGTGCTGGTAGAAGGAAACGCTCAAGGGAGTACGCGAAGGGCTCCAGACGGGAGAAGGCTCCACCGTAATCTCCTTCTACTAGTGTAGCCAAATCTCGGCAGATGCAATCATCCAAGGCGCTGCTCTCACCGGAGTCGAGGGGTACGAAAAACGGGTCATAGGTGTATCTAGTGGAGTGGTCTCCGGTGCTGAGCAAAGCCCTAGGGTAGTTCTACATGTATAGGAGATGTTCGCCGAGCTCTTTTGAAGAGCTAGGTCTAGAGAGAACAATTCATTGAGTAGATGCAGATAGTGGGCTCACAGGAATTGAGACGGCTTGCTGGAGTCTCTGTTCGCTTCTACTAGATCCATCACAGC